GATGGAGGAATGGCTGGTGGATGGGTGGGTGTAAAGGCAGGAAGTACATTCATGTTAATAAATTAAATATTAATGTAAATTTCACGCTGTGCTAAAGTGCGGATGTCATCAGACCCAGATGACAGATTAACAAATAATTTATGTTGTTAACGCCAAACATATTTGACATGTGTACGAACGAAATCATGACAACGAACGATTAATGTACATATGTATCGGTGTACAGTGTATGACAATCGTTAAAAGGCTGAGGCATAAACTATAGATTAGGTTATTCAAAAGTGGGAGTGGAAATGGAATTTTGCAGTAAGAGTTTAATTAAAGGAGAATTTTCAGATGCTAATATCACGTTGTTACGTCTGTAACAGAAAGAAGTGGAAATGGTGCAAAGTTTGGCTGCCTGATTCTTTAATACTTTTTATCATATATGGCATTGATCTCAAAATGCTTTAAAAATAGTTTGGAAGAAAGTGCCAACATTCAGCTAGATACGTACAGGTATATAGCTAAATCTAAGAAAAATACCTTTTTTTCAGCACAATATAATCCTGTATTGAACCTTTATTATAGGAAGGGTTTCTTCCTCTAGAAAATCCAAAATGTCGTATTATTGTTAAGTTCGAGTTGAAAAGAAGGTCACTTTTATTTTGTGATAATTTGTAGCTGACAACTTTTGGCAAGGGTGTATCCTAGAGACTATAAATATAAGCTTCCAAAATTCGTCCACATCAAGTGAATTTATGGAAAAAGTTTTAGAAAAAAAAACGAAATTGGGCGTTAGCAGTTAACTTAATGTAATAACTAAAAGGTAAATATTGGGAAGTTCAGTCCATGATATTGAATTCCACAAAGCCAAGGACACGGCGCAGTGTAATTTGGTGGATCAATATATTTTTATATGCAAGGAGGCATTAAATCAATTGAGATAAAACATCAACTTGCTAACATGTGGTTAGGGTCTTTAAATGCCTCAAATGGCGGCTATGGAGAACTATGTCATTTTTTTTTATGAACAAAATGGATATTCAGGGAGGAAGGGGAGGTACCAGAAGGAGTGGACCGATATATTCCATCTTAACACCAGACTTCTGGTTAATAAAATTATTGGGATGTATTAAATTTGTAGACAATCGGACTCTTACATCACATTTTATAAGAGTTGTAATTATTCAAAAAATTAACCCTTTGTGTGGGAGGTACGTGTAGTATCAGAAGGAGTGGACCGATACTGCCCATCTCGAACTCGATCTATGTTTGACAAAGAAAATTACGATGTACCAAATTTGGACGAAATCGGATACTCCCTTCGAGAGTTATCGTGTGCACCAGCCAGACAGACGGGCATCGCTACATCGACTCCAAATGTCCTGAAACGGATTTGGTTCAAAGAGACATAGGGTCTAAAACCGTTATTTCGATGAGGTACGTTTGGGCCGTATCAAATGATATATACCCTCTCTAGACATATGGTTGAGATATAAAAAGAGTTTTTCCTTCTTTGACTTCGGTCGTTTGTTTGAATAGTCGGCGTATGAGTGATATGAAAAATCACTTATACGTTCAGGCGTACCGAACTATTAACTAGATTGACAAAACTCTGGGTATACAGGGTTGCCCATATTCGACGGACCCATAACTCTTTGGGCCCATTCCAATCGACGAGGCTTGTCCGCAGGCAACATTCTTTGCGTCAATTAAATTTTGTACGGGAACAAATGCAAGTCAATGCGAATAATCTGTTGTAAAGTGGACCGAGCCATGCCCAACTGCTGAGAACGGCGTTTTTGGGATGTTCTTGGGGATCTCTCAACACTGGCTCGTACGGCGGCGATATTCTCGGCCGATCGCCTTGGTCGACTTTTATATGGCCTCTTCGGATTTTTTTTTTTTTGGTGTTCTTAATTGTGTTCTTAGAAGGCGCACTTCTCACATTTTTAAATGTTTTAAAAGCAATTGACTTCTTCTGTTGAATGTAAATTTCAACTATTTCAGAGCGTCCGCGTGGCGTGTATTGGTTCATGGTAAAAATCTGCTTGGACTGACGCTTCAAACGCGGTATGTCATTAAGCGATGTGACATCTCTGTCAAAAGTTATGGTGTTGCCAGATGGGTCCGTCGAATATGGGCAACCCTTTACTTGTTCTGTATTATTAGTTTTCACTCCCAAGTTCCCATTAAATCAGGTGGTATGTGATACTCTGAGTTCTGTGTCTGAAAATTAACTCTTGGCAAAAATATCCAATATGTTTCTGGAACTTTCAAATTTTAGAAACTTTGAGTATAGTCTATTTGTTGGAGAGTATAAAATTGTCGAATCTACTTATTAATTTGTTGGAAGTTAGAAGAAAATAACTAAGTATTCCTTTTTCGTATTTGATTGATGTTTAGCATCAATATTTTGCCATGTTTGAAGAAATACGAAATTTAATTTTTGCTTTGGGGAAGGTGATGGATAAGATTTCCAAATAGAGTACGCTTTTGGAACTGACAATTTTTGAAGTTAATGTTATGATTTGGTAATTTTTTTTAACTATTTTAGGAACTCCGATCTATTTATATGCGACATCTTTATTTTATTATTATATAATTTATTTATAATTATACAATTAATTTATTATTATTTTTTTGGGATACAGGGGACTAATATCGTATCACCTATGCTTCATACATGATTTCTTTAAAATACTGAATTTTACAGTGTATTAGATGTCGGTCAAATTAGAATCTCTCTTCGAGTATTATCGGTCGCACAAAACGGATTTTTTTCAATGAGAAATAAAAGGTGTCTTTCAGCCAAGAATTTATAAAAATATAACTATTAACTATTTTAACTCAACGTTCCTTGGATTTTTCAATTTTATCTAGAGCTCTTTATTGAAATTCCTATGACGATAACATCTAATTAATTTTTGAATTAAAGCATCTTTGTTTTGAACTTATCTTCTGTTGAATGCATCGATATGTTCATTCTCTCTTACATTCCTGGGTTCTCAAGAGTACAAAGTTCGTTCTCTCTCCGCTCCTTATTTTGCCTGACATTTTTGATACAACAGTAGCGGAAAAGTCGAAATGAGAACACCTTGTCAAAGACGCCACTTTAAATAACCTGTCAAAGGTAGATCCAATACACATGGTAGCTTTATTAAAAGTCCTCCTTAAGATTTCCTCAGATTGGTTATATTTTGATTTAAATAAAAACATCTTTCTAATACAGTAACTGTCACATAATTCAATGACTTTCCAACAAATTGATTGGATAGGCCACCTTTCAGTTTTACGCCGTGTGCTGAGGTAAGGGGGATATCGTAAAAATGTTAAAATAGCTTTTAAAGGTTATTTCACAAAATTTATCTCTTTGTTTATCGCCAAGAATATTCCTTCAAAGATAAGGGGAAGAAGAGGGACAGAAGATATTTAGTCATGTGTAAGAATTTTTCTTTCAATTTCCCGCTCTAATAACTTGGAAAAATGTTAGTTGTTGTGCCGCCACTGCCGCCGCCACCACCGTCACCACAATGAGTCATTCATTGTTCCTTTGGCTGAAAGTTTTCACAACATCAGAATTTTGCCCGGCATCTTCAAAGACGAACCTGAATATCATTAAAGGTCGTTACAAAAAAAATATCACATCTCTACCCGCCAAGGATGATTCTTTGAAGATGTTGTGTTTAGTTGGTTTGCTTAGCTGGCTTGCGGGTCCTTTGTTTAAAACACTTTCTCATGTTTATAATAAATAGAAATCCCCGCACTTCCTACCTGTGCAAGAAGAGGGAATTCAAATTTAGGTAATAGCTTTACCTAAACGTAAACTACAAAATTGGAGAGGGCTACTAACAGGTGAATGGAGATGTTTTTGCACGCTACATTGCTATAAACTGTACGGTGGTTCTAAAGTAAAGTTGGTGTTTTAACCCAAATATTTCCTCCAATCTCATTCTCTAAGCCTGATCTAAATTTATTCCCCAAGCACTTAAATGCTTGAAATATTAATATTTTTTTAAGGAAAATATAATTTAGAAGACTTTTTCTTCATTCCTAGAAGTGTCACACTCATCATTCTGCCCTTTCCCTAAACTGTTAGGTTTTGTGGAAAAAGAAGTGATATCGCTCTTTTTATTTGAGTAGAGTATCAAATAACCGGAATCGCTGACGTCTATTTTTGTTTTGTTTGCCATATTTATGAATTTCTTAGAAAATGATTTTGTCTCGCCAACAATGATGCCAGCTTTTGTGAGAAGAAAACAAAGATGTTTAGCAGCGATAAGCAACGTTTAGCTTAAGTGTCTTGGACGATAACCCCACATAAATCTCCAATAGAATATGAAACAAAAACGTTTAACACCTTTAGCCAGACAATTTTCGCCAAATATCCACTTTCCCTGACGAGTCCACATTGACTCAATTTAAATTTAAATGTAAATTCATTCTTTGCCATCTCCATCTCCATCTTCCTACAACCTGACAACCCACCAGGCAACCAAGCAGTCTTCCAACCAGGCAGCCAGCCAGTCAGTGTTTGTCGTATCATTCCACCAAGACTACTACCAGAAAAAAATATCCGACATAATACAATTAAGATGGAAACAAGATGGCAGCGGATGGGGAGGTGGTGGTGGTGGTGTTGGAATGTGGGAGGGAGAGATTGTCCCAAATAAAGTTAGTCATTCATTTTCACCAACACCGCACAAAACTAAGGCAAAAACAACGTGCCATAAAAATTGTTTAGATGTAAATAGATTTTGTAGAAATTTCCTTAAGGCAGCAACAGAGAACAGCAAAAACACAAAACTGAGACCAGAGGTAGAGGTAATGGCTCCGCCAGCTACGACGGAAAGAAATCTGTGTTTACCATGCTGTTATGTTTGTGTTTCTGTTTCAGTTTCTGTTTGCCGTCTGTTTAAGTGGGTGTTTATCAGTTGCCGTTTTGCGTTTTCACGCTGCTGCCGCGCTTCTTCATTCTTCTTTCTCCGTTTTCCGTTCTCCATTCTCCGTTTACTTACCGCCAACATAGATGTCAACTTGTGTCCAATTAAGTTTTGTCGCAATACTTTTAACGGCAAAGGAAATTGCCTCGTATGATGGTAGAAAATTGCTTGATTCCTGGAAGTAGATAAAATAAACAACAAGAACAACAATCAGACAAGATATAAACAAACAAAATTTTGATTTTTATATGCACACATACATATGTAAATAGAGATGTAAATGTGTCGGCATGGGCGGAGGATTTACATATGTTCATACATTAGCAGTTCGATATTGATTTATTGGTCGTTTGAAATGTGTGCATAGTTAAATCAAATAATATTGAAAGCTAGCCTTAAGAAATACTACCTTTCCACAGATTTTGAAGATTTGTGAGAGCCAGTAAAGGCTATGTATGGTACTGATGTGACATGAAATTGTGTGTATAAAATTAAGTCATTCAAAAATTTGTTTGTCCTAGACACGAACATATGTTGTGTTCTTAAAATAATCGTAATTTCTCTAAATTTTGTTGAAATTAAATTAGAAATTTATAGACTAGAAAGACATGATGTCATATTTCCGCAAAATAATAGATAAGAGAACCCTCCCTTAATCAACATATAGTTGAGAATCTTTTCCAACCATTATAACCATTACATTTCATTACATTCCACATTCCACTGATTTTAAAGATTTGTAAGAGTCAATTAAGGCTATGTTATCGAGCTTTTTTAATCAAATTGAGATTTTTCATCGAGATGCAGTTTCCGGTCAAATTTTCCTATGCATATAAAATTAAGTTAGCCAACATTTTAGAGGTGCCTACAAGCCTAGAGGCGAAAATATTTTGCGATTTTGAAAAATCGTAATTTTTCTAAATTTCTACCACAGTTACGGTTTTGTTTTAAAAAAAAATCAAAATTTACAGACTGGAAAGACATTATGTCATATTTCGGCATAATGATAGATGAGAGAACCCAACCTTAGCCCATCCTCAACTATGAACCGTTCCCAAACATTATGTTTATAACTTTGCACAACCTTAGCCTTATGTCTAAAAAAGGTATATAGGGTGAAATGATAAAACTGCAACCAACTTCATTTCCAAGCCACTCGTCCGACAGCTGTTAAAATTATTCCAGTGGTAGCTCATTATATTGTTTACAAGCGTTCAAAAGCATTTTGGTGAGAATTTTCCAGAAAAAAAGTTATTCGCGATGGAGTTCAAGCGTGATGGTGTGATTTCTTTATATTTCGCTCGAAATCCACAAGTGGCTATCGTTGGAGCACTCCAGCATTTAAATGTAAATAAATCTTTTGTGCCTCGTACCATCGCTTGTTACGGTGATACTGGCAGCGTAGCGGGCGGAAGAAAACAGCAACATCAGCAGAAATGGTTCGAAAAGTGAAGAAGCAACTTGATCGAAACCCGCGTCGCAGTGGCCGATAAATGGATCTTGAGCTGAACATATCTCAATGTTCCATTCGGAAAATATTGAAAAATGAGCTCGGGGTAAAGCCATTGCAATTCCAAAAACTGCAAGAACTTACACCGCAGCAGAAAGAAAATAGACTCAATAGAGCTAACGAGTCGCTTCGCTTGGCCGAAAGTGGTGAAGTGCCGAATTTGGTTTTCCCCGCTGAGAAAACATTCGTTGTTCAGCAGTTTGTAAATAAAATAATCGAGTTTACTTGCCAATGAGGTCAGCTGAAAATGTGCTCCTTCGGTTGGCCACCAGAACTCAAGCTCCGGCCATGGTGATGGTGTGGGCCGCCATAACAGCCGATGTTCGCTCTCCGCTCGTATAAATCGACCGTGACATCAGAATAAATGCCGAATATTATCGCGAAAATATGAGAGTATATTAAAGTCTTGGGCACGCAAACATTTTGGCCCCTTGACCTTGGACATTCCAACAGGACTCAGCACTATCGCAATAAGCACGTGCCACCCAAGAATGGTTACAAAATGAGGTTCCTCGCTTCATTTCCAGCGCACAATGGCTACCAAAATCTCCGGGTACCAATCCGTTGGACTATTGTATTTGGTGTATTGTGGAAGGCAAGGTTGACACTAAAAAATACTAAAGTGTCGATCACCTCAAGCAAGCGCTTCGCCGGGAATGGGCCAAAATACCACAGAACAACATTTGGGCAGCGTGTGACGGTTTCATTGTCGGTTTGAAGGCCATAATTCGTGCCAAAGGTGAACAATTCGAACAAATCTAAACTTATTCTAAAATTTGATGCTAGTTCCGACATTTTTTGCTTTCATTCAATAAAATTAAAAAAAAATGTAGAAAATATGGCCTGGATGGTGCCTAAAATATGTATTTTAAGTTCGGAATGATATTCGGCATAGGCAATGAACATATTCCATATCGCTGTGTCAAACCTATGACCGTCCTATTGAATAAACACAAATTGATTACTTTTTTTAATTCACCATCCCTCCCTCCCCTTCCTCGCCACGCCAAGCTCTAATTAATTGTAAGCCCTTTTGTAATATATACCATCAAATATGTACATATGTGTGAATGTAGGCAAATACAATAACATTGACACATGTAATGCACTGCAGATTATTTTGTTGACAGACAAATCTATTATCCTTTCCATGTCGTTTGAAAATCAACAACAATATTGAAATATGTGCTGTTTTCAGCAAAGGCTGCACTGAATGAAAACATCCTAGGCTAATCGATATGCCATCATTGTTTTCCAATGGCTTTTTCATGATTGAAATTATTATTAGATGTTTTTTCAAAATCTATTCATTATCTGCAGTGACAGGTATTGTAAAGCCATAAGGAAATCAGGGAATTGAGATTTAGGAAAATATCGACATGACTTTGTAATAACCTACATTAAAGCAAAGATATAAATAATGCATATTATATCCTGCATTATAGCGTGATAAGGTTGTATACGAAAAAAATATTTGTCGTAGTTTGGAAATCTTAGGCTGAAGAACCATTAATTAAAAAACAGAATTTCATGTTATTTCATATGTGGAATAAAGCTGTCGATTTTTCTTAATTCTTTCAAAACAAAAAAAAAAAAAATAAATAAAGTAAAGAAATAAAATAAATAAAAGAATCTTCAACATTTTTATTTTGCCTTGATTTCGTATTTTGTTTGCGACAGTTACCCAGTTTTAAACCAACAACATTTTATACAACTTCCACTCTATTTTACTTGTTGTTGTACAACAACAAATATTACCATAATAGTATATCAAAAAACAATATCTTGTTAAAATCCACCTCTGGTTCGACATGTAACTCTATCCGGCCAAGCGAAAGTATTGGCTTATGTGAATTTCGATTTTTGTCCTGACACCGCCACCATCGAACAGGCCACTTTATTTGCAATCAACGACAACAAGAGCAACAACAACACCGCCACAGCCACTACAACATTTTGCCACTTTTAATGGTTGTACCTGTTTGAGGTTTATCACCTGCCTGGGATATGGCAAACGGCAAGGCGTAACAGTGGAACAATAGGATTTTCGGAAATGGAAACAAAAACAAAAAAATAATATTATTGGAAGCGACCTTCTCCTCCTCTCCCCCAAACTCAATGGGAATTCAGTGAACAGTTAAAGCCTATTGGACTTTGCCACGATAGCAGAGCTTGCCAGGCAAGAGAGCGAGCAAAAAAAAATAGACAATGTGAAAGTTACGACCATTGATGGGTTTCTGTTTGTCTTTTGGATTTCAATGGATTTTGATTAGAGGCATGACACAAAGGCAATATCTCTATGTGTGTATGTGGGTGTGTGTGTAGTTTTGATTACAGCAGCATCAGAAGCAGCAGCAGCAGAGTGTTGATTAAAACACTGCCCAGTTATTGACAATCCAGGAAAATGATGGATACATTCTTGCTGCCTATCAGGCTTAATACAATTTTCCTTTGTGGTTTCTTGTTTTGAGCTCCTCCTTTGCTGGCTGGCCTTCTGACCTTTGCCAGCTTGTCAGTTCGATACAAACGAAGAAGTTATTAGAAAGCAATCTAATAAAAGTTTTCGTTTTACGGATCCTTGCTTGATGGGATCTGTTGGGCTCTCAAGTGTTTCATTCACATATGCGTGTGTGTGTGTGTTGTGAAAGAGGCGTGCTGCAAGAAGCTGGTGGCGAAATGGGAAACAAATAAATCCTTTCCAGCCACACATGGTACATATGGTGGCACATCGGTGTCGGAAAATTGAATTGCATTTCATTAGGTTACGTCGCCGATGAACAAAAAAAAAAAGGCAAATCCTTTTCTTTGTTATCACGCCCACGCAGGGCAAATGTACACAGACACACTCACAGGGTCTCATATGCTGGATAACATTTACACAAGTGTGTGAATATTTTGAATGGCAGAGATTGGATTAATGCGTAGAATAAGATCGTTGAAGACGACATTTGAGCACTCTCCTTTGAACTTTGTGTGTTTTAGGATTGTTTGCAGAAGATAAATGCAATAAGGGAGATATGTAATGTGGAAGAAAAATATTGGCTATCTCAACAGCATTTTTGGTTACAATTGGGGATAATATGCATTACATGCGGTAATTGACATGATTGTATTGGAGGCTTCAATGAGACTAATTGAGAAAAATTTCACCAATTTGATTTTTTCAAAGGCTCTATAAAATATTTTTTATTCACTACATAGTAAGGTATAAATAATGGTAGAAAACTTTTTTGGAGGCAAAAATAACACTTTATATTTATAGAATAATAAGAGAATTCAAAAAAGTGCATTGCATTCATGGTAGACTAAAATAAAATATAATTTGTGGGGACCAATATTTTTGGGAGCTTAAGTTAGAATCAAATCAAATCTAAAAGCTGTTTATTTGTAAATTATATAGGCGGAATCAGAGACCTTTCATTCCCATCCTTCCGCTATATCTAATAATAAATAAAAAAATATTTAAATGAGCAAATTTTGAAGGGAAATGGGGAATGATTTTACATTTTTTGATTAAATCCCTGAAGACTGAGCTATCTGAAGGAGAGGACCGTAAAATCACATATTTTTTTCAGATACCAAATATTGTCTAATTGGGACATGAAAACATTGAAGAAAATCGAGTGATTTTTTATCTCTCTCTCATAAAATATAATTTCAGAGAG